TGAACCTAGCATTTTAGGAATAGTAGAAGCTGGTCTTCATAACAAACCAGTCTATTTTAACTGCTTTCCTGACTTTACCATAAGCCTTGAATGTCCTAACACAACAATGGCTTTAACCCTTGGTATAAATGCGACACCCCAAATTCATGGGGTCCGTTAATTTCCCATCAACCCACGGAATGCCCGTGGATACCGTATAACTTGATATCGTACTGTTGTGTCCCATTTACCGGGATCCATAATTTAACGAAATTCGGGCAGAGTCTCCTTTGTACAGGAAGCTCTACCCCAAAACACAATCTGTGCAATCAACATTTACATTATCCATCCGAGGTCCAATATAATACCATAATCACACAGGGTCTATTTTATACATAAAACTTGACCACGCCGGGTCCAATCATCATATTTATATCAAAATATGCAAGGTTATATTAAAACAGTCCATATATACTCTATTACAATTCCTTTACACATTACATGCTAAAATTTAATTACAAATCTACTTTTACAAAAAAAAAATAGATTGGAAGCCACAAGTCGGCTTTTCTTCAACCATGTGACCCTGATTGTGAGCCGTCCATTGGTGCATGACCCACACCTGAAATGTTTCCCGTATAGGGTGAGCCAATGCCCAGTAGAATAATCCCTACAGAGGCTACTCATCACCTAAAATGCATATGCAATGTATAAATGCAACATTTCACAACAAGTATTCCCTCCAACAATAACATATAATACAATGTTGGAAAATCATGATGTCATGCCAAGTAATGAGATGAAACTCACCCATGCATGCTATCCCGAGCCCACACCGACTCCCACAACACAATGCGACACTTACGTGTAAAACAAACGTCTTTGATGAAACACATCCAAATATCATTTTGAAATCAACCATATGTCATAAAACTAATTCATTCTTGGATGTTTCCCATCAAATGAATAATTTATATTTCAAAATCATGTGCCTTTATGGGGTATCGGATTCAGGAATCGCACCTCTGGCTCCGTACGCCGTTACACTTTTCTGAAATTTCACCGTCGGTAAGTGTATGAACCAAGTGGTTAGATTTTTCACCCGAGGGAGTGTCTAGCCCTACTTGCTATACCCGACACAAGTTTTCTTATGCATGTCACCGTGCGATTCCATAGAACGTTCCATCCCACTTTCCCAAGCCTACCATCAAGTACCAATGTTGGTGTTGATCACCCCATGCAACCCTACACCCACACTCATGCATGTAGCCCATGAATGTGATGTTAATTCCATGTCCATATTGCAATGCATGCCAAATGACAATTTTTAAATATCATTGTATACCATGACAATTAATATCATTTGCATATAATCACATAACCATTTCAAGTTCAATATATCCAAGAGCATATATCAACACTCCATCAACATGATAACACATAATACATGCTAATATTACATTTAATTCACAAGGCATAATATAAAACACAAAGCATGTCCACATGATCCCAATTTTCAAGGGATTACATAAATACTTCCATATACCAAAATCAAGCCAAGATTTTATATGAATCATTCAAACAAAATAAAAATCAGAATATAGGATTTTTATATAACCAATTATCTAAACATTCAAGAAATCACAAACTAGCACTTTCTAACTACCAATTCACACTAGAATTAATCCTACCCATTTCCATAGCACCAATCATAATGGAAAAGTATTAGAAATACCCAAAACAGCCCACATGAACCCTATGGACACCTTAGGTTAGAAATAGGTCCGAGTAGGAGGAACCCTACCTCTTGAAGCGTAAAGAATTTGTAGGAAGCCTCAAGAACAAGATTGAAGTCCAAAGTTTAGATTTCTCCAAAATCCTCCCTTTGAATCTTCGGTGAAAATCTTTTTTTTTGGTACCCACGCGTAGCTCTCGTCGTGTAGATCGACTTTAATTCTTGGCCCGACGAATTCCGACCGACGGAACTCCGAGAATCGGCGAAAGAAAGCTTGAAGAATTATATTTTTTTTCTTCTTTGCTCTTGGGTCTGATCCAGCCGGCCAAATGAAGAGCAATATTTGCCCACTTTTATACTTTCTAAACACTTGGCCCTCGTCGCGCCAAGTGTTATCCTTTGTCCGGGTCCGTTTTCATCCCGAAACGATTAAATTTCGTACCGATTTAAGCTCAAAATATTTTATATGAAATTTATTTAAAATATTTTTCAAATTTTCAAATTTTTATAAAAATTTCGTTTTTAGGGGTCATGGAACACCCGTCACCTTGAAAAACGTGAAAAATCTGACTATCTCAGAATTCGACGAAATTTGTCTGGGTAACTAGATTTCGTGAGACGATTTCAACGGTGAGGTCCGTTTCATCATCCGAGGTCTATAAAAATACCAGTTTTTTTTTAACCCACACTATAATGGCAAATTACCATTTTGCTATTTTTTTTTTTCAGAAAAAGTTAAAATTTTTCCTGGGTTTCACAATAAAACTCTCAGGAAAAACCAAATTAGTAAAAGAAACCAAATCTCTAGTACTTATCTATAGGATTTACTATAAATGCATCAACACAACCCTGAATGTGCATGCATTAAAAAAAAGTCCTAAAGATAGCACCTTGTTAATTCAATCTAGTACTAGTGAATCCAATATCCAAATCCCTAAAAGACTTTTTATGGAAAGATGTTCAGCTACCAGAAACTTGGATAGTTGAAAATAAAAACCACAACAAGGATAATGAAAATACCACAACTAACCTAGAAAATATCCAGCAGTTCTTTGATGGATCAGTAAGAATCTCCTTTGATTCTGCAAGATCTCATCAATCAGGTAGATCATTTAGGAAACCCATTCAAATTAATAAAGGTAGGAAATCTGACTCTTATTCTAGTTTCTCTGGAAGAGATAAATAATTAGTTAGTGAATTAAAAAGAAAATTTAAGTTAAAAGGAATAGATAATTTCACATCACAGGTTAGTAAACCATACTATACTCCACAACAGAGTATCCTGCAGACTATATATATATATATATTTATTTATTTGTGTGTAATGTCTACGCCTCTAAAACCAAAAATAAAATATTGGATCCACCCAAAACAAAACAAAAAAGTTAGGCCCACTCAAATTAAAAAAAAAAAAAAAAGTTGGCCTACTAAATCACAATCCATTTGTTGTGTGTAGTGCAAGCGTCTATAACTCACCTTTCTTTTTTTTTTTTTTTTTTTCTTTCTTTCTCTCTCTCTCTTCTAGCGACAAATAGGTAACATTGCAACAGGTTTAAAATTGGTTACTGTTAAAAATTTCAATTCTATGTGCATATTTTCCTATTGACAAGACAATTGTTGTTATTTGTATGGTTATAATTAGCTCTTTTTTTTTTGGGTAAAGGGTTGTAATTTGGTTATTTTTTTTATTAATTGTTTTGCATAGACCATGTTTTGTATATTGGCTTTTGGCCTTTGTGTGTTTGATAATTTTTACCTAACTATTATGATGCTAAAAATTAGAGATGTTAATCGAATCGAGTTATTTAGGTTTGATTTGGATAAGACTCGACTCGAGCTCGACTCGTGTTCTAAACAAGTTGAGTTTGAATAATTTTTTATACTCATTTTTTAAAGGTGCGACTCAAGCTCGCAAAATTTGACTTGTATATGTGTAAAATAGTCAAGCTACTTGGGTTCAATTTGAGTTCTAAATAAGTCGAGCTTGAATAAATTTTTAGTCTCATTTAAAAAAATGAGTTCGACAAGCTCAGATTCAAGTTCGTGAAACTCGGCTCAATTAACACCCTTACTAAATATATAAATGTATCACATTATTTTTATTTACTGGAGGAAAAAATTAAATTTTATAGTTAGAGTGTGTCCACCCTACAAGTGATTTCTGGCTCCGCCCCTAATTTCACGAGCAGTTTTACAAAATTTATAAAAATAAACTAGAATATGACATTAAGTATATTCATAATTACTTATAAGAATAAAAAAAGTATATTCATAATCATATGGAGAAAGTATATTTAGTTTTATGTTCAAATAAAACTTTCTGTCTTGGTTACATTTGGGTTCATTAAAATAATATTTTGATTTGTAGTTTCAAGACCTCATCCAACTTGTGACTCTAGTGTGTCCATTTCTTGTTCATGAGTTCCCTTCTTGTCAGTTTCGGAGAGGTTAGTTTTATGAGCTAGTGCGTGATGAGATCATGGTATATATACGCACTACAGTATTTAGAAACAACATCTGGGTGCACGGAACTGCCGGAAGATGATTGTAAAAGAAATTCTACTGGCTAAAATAAATAGAATGGGGTGAGCTTTCACTGCAGAGTGGACATAGAATGAGATAGAGTTAGTAATTTTATATTAGGTAGTTAAATGAGAACGATGATGAATATTGGTGGAATGAGAATAGTTTCACCCATTTATAAATTAGTGTTATAAGCAACAATGTACCGAGAGGATACGTGTGTTATTATTTAATACATTTTTGGAGTTTTCTCATTTTTTTTAGTTTGAATTCAAAGCTGTGTTGTGATTAAAATTTATCTTGTGGACACTATTTGTTTGTTACCGTTTGACACGAAAAGTACATTGAAATGGATCCAAACCCTTTCTATTTCTTTGCAACCCCATCTTTTTTTCCCCTGTTTTTGATTGTTCAGGGACTACAACAGGTTTCAACTCAAACTGCTGCAATTGAACCTCTCAAAATACCAATGGGACATTGGATATTAGAAACGTATTATAAAATACCTTACACACCTGCAAACTTTGACCACCTAACTATGATCCGAAGATTAATTTTCTTAGTTGCCGTTTGATTTAATGAGGGACCCTCCAGTTGCCCACCGGAAACCAACCCTCTCATCTTCAATATAAACCAAGTCTAACTGCCACTAGTTTTATTGGTCTAACTATTTTCTTCTATTTGAGTCGCCCGATACCCTTTGTTTGTTTGTGTAATTCGACTTCTTCTTTTTCCTTTCTCTATCACCACCGACCTCTGCGAAATGTTGAGAGACAGCCTTAGAGGACAAACACAGAAACATCAAAACCACAACAAAAAATTTGTAAGCATCAATATCTCACCTTCACCAACATCTAGTGGTCTAAGGTCTCGAGATGATCTGAGTCATCGGCCGGAATCATTTCACATAATAGAAACGGGTGTGCCGAGGAGTGACTCGGCCGAGGAAAAACTATCTTGGCTACGTACTCAGATTATTGGCAGCAATTCGGAGTTTGATACACCTTTTGGAAAACGCAAGCTCACCTATGCTGATCACACAGCTTCCGGCCGGTGCCTTCTCTATGTGGAAGACTACATAATCAATCATGTTCTTCCATTCTATGGTTAGTTGATCATGCATTTAATTTTTTTTTTCATTTGTTCAGAGTTCTTAACAATATTATTGATTGGATTTGCTGAAGGAATTTCATATTGCCCTTCAATTCTGCAGTTATTTTTGAAAGGTGAAACTCTTTGAGTAAAACCTGTGATGAAAACAATAGCCAGATGTTATCTTGACTCTCTTGAGTTTAATGTTTCACTAAAATATTTTACTGCTTCAGAATATCCTACATTAAAAAAGATTAATTATACTTTCCCATCCTAATTTTAATTTACCCCTTCAAACTATTGATTTGAACATATGGTATATTCAACTTTTCAAATTAACCTGGAGAAAAGAGCGGGGATAGAAGACTACAATTTAAGCGAAGAAAGTGTAATTAACCCAAAAAAACAACCATCGTTGTTCAAGCATCAGGAATTCATTACTAATCAAAGTACACTTTCTACCTCTTTTGTTTAGGTAATAGTCACACTTGTGACAGCTACGTGGGTCACCAGACAACAAAAACAGTGCATGAAGCAACCGAGTACGTCAAGAAATGCTTAGGTGGCAGTGGAAATGATGCTCTAATATTTTGTGGCTCAGGTACAACCGCCGCTATTAAACGGCTCCAAGAAGTCATGGGAATTTCCATCCCATCCACATTGAGGGATAGGGTGTTGAATATCCTAAGCAAAGAAGAGAGATGGGTAGTTTTTGTTGGGCCACATGAGCACCACTCCAACATCCTCTCTTGGCGGCAAAGCTTGGCAGAGGTGATAGAGATTGGTTTGGATGAAAATGGCTTGCTAGACATGGAAGCTTTAAGATTCCAACTTGACTTCTATCGGGGCAAAGACCAGCCGATGTTGGGTTCTTTTTCAGCTTGCAGTAATGTCACCGGAATTTACTCCGACACACGAGCTCTTGCCCGCCTTCTTCACGAATATGGATGTTTTACATGCTTTGATTTTGCAGCAAGGTACACAAATTTTGATGCAAAATGCTTGTCCCAATAGACGTGCTTTAGTCTTATGTAAGGTGTTTTGGTCATGACACGAACATCACACTTTCGAATAAAGGAAATAATTTACACACACGTGGGAGTGACTACATGTATCTAATATACTAATGGAAATGAAACTGTCTTTGTAAATGAGTTATTATGTCCGAGTCTAATAGGACTTAATTTTTTGTATGTTAGTTCCCCTTATGTGGAGATCGACATGAGATCGGGGGAGATTGATGGTTATGATGCCATTTTCCTTGGTCCTCATAAGTTTCTCGGAGGCCCAGGGTCCCCAGGCATCCTTCTGATGAGCAAGGCACTATATCAGCTGAAGTCTTCGCCTCCATCAACCTGTGGAGGAGGAATAGTTAATTTTGTCAATGGTTTCAATGCAAAGGCAGGTGCACTCAATGAAATATGTTCATGCTACTAGAGTTGCATGGCAAAGATCACACTTTAGAAATTTGTTTTATCAATCGACAACTACTACTAATATACTCTGAACTTTCATGGATTTCAGGACACATTATATGTCGAAAAAGTAGAGGAAAGAGAAGAGGCTGGAACTCCACCAATCATCCAGAAAATTAGAGCAGCATTGGCATTTTGGATAAAGGAATACGTTGGTTATGAAGTGATTAGAAGGCAAGAGAACAACTACATTGAACGAGCACTAGCAAGGCTTCTTCCTAATCCAAACATACATGTTTTAGGAAATACAAGTGCAGAACGACAAGCTATCGTATCTTTCCTCGTTTACTCGACTACCAATTCTCCATCAGTTGACGTGATTACTGAGGATAATATAGATGGAAAAGAGACAGGAGGACTTTACCTATGGAGAGAGACGGGTCAAAACATAGACAAGCCTCTCCAAGGGGCTTTTGTTGCAAAGCTCCTCAATGACCTCTTCGGCATCCAGGCTCGAGGTGGATGTGCTTGTGCAGGACCCTATGGTCACAGTTTGCTCAATATTGATAATCAACGCTCGCTTGCCCACAGATCCGCAATCCAAATGGTGAGTAGTCCATTTCTTCATTAGTCTGAGTTCCTAATATCATTACCTTGTTAGCATCCTACAACATTGATTTTTGTTCATTGCCAGGGCTATGTTGGAGTGAAGCCGGGATGGACAAGAATAAGCTTCCCCTACTACATGTCCAATGAAGAATTTGAGTTCATTCTAGCTGCACTGGAATTCATAGCCACATATGGCCAACGGTTCCTGCCCTTGTACCACTTCAATTGGAAAACTAGTGCCTGGACATTTAAGAAGATAATCAAGGAGACTGTGCAAGAGAACAATACCGATAACAATTTTTATGTTTCACTCATGGCCAGCGTGATGCAAGTGTTAGACCAAGAATGCAATGAACTAAAAAAACACAAAAATGCAGATATCAATGATGTTGGGGTGGTCTGTAAGTATGCAGTGTATCTGGAGACTGCCAAGCGCATTGCAAGCTTCCTCCCAAAATTCCCGCCTCGACGTAGAATTCCAAAAGGCATAAACCCTGACATACTATTCTTCAGAGTCTAGTTCCCATTTTTTCTATTCCGTTGATGCCTCAACCCATTTTTTATAATAGCATATTTCAATATATCATTTTTTTTTGTTAACATGCTCTAATTAATTACAAGAATCACTTGCAACATTCAATGACTGTGTAATACTTACCATGGATTCTCTAACATTAATGACAAGTGATCTAACATGTAAAGAAGATACAATATGCGAATGCCACACACAACACTTCAGGATTTGTGAGAATAAACTACTGAAAACTCAAAAACACATAATCAAATTGAGCTATTTTGGTTATCAGAGAACTTGAAGCTTTCATTTTCTTTCTTCCATGCAATTTATTAGCCATAACTACAAGAATTACCCAAAGTTAAAAAAAAATATTTAACTGTGATATCGATAATAGATCAAACTTGGGTCAACACACAATGACTAAGCACAAATAATAGCTCCAGGAAATCTCAATCTCAAAAATGTAATTACGTAACAGAATGAATTTAAAGCAATTAGAGGACATGTGAGCCTCATGCATCAAATCCAAATTTCATTCAAACAATTTTAAAACCATTTTACTATGGTTCTAATTGGATGAAATGGCACATTGCGCTTTTGCATAGTTTGCATCATCTGGACATAAATAGGATTAGTATTTTTGCCAATTTTGTGTGAATGCATGTGTGTCTTTAGGAATGTACATGAATATCCACAAAATCAGATCAAAATAGAAAATCAAAAAATTAGCATTGATTAAAAATATATTGCTAACAAGAACTCAGCAAAACCGTATTACGGCAACCCATCAAAATGCCTACCAGAGGCATAATTGCGAGATCAAATACCACTATGTTGCCTGGATAGAACTCAAAAGTCAACAAATTAAGCAACATGGTTAAAGAAGCATCGAAACAAAGCATTCCTCCTAAACTTATCTTCATTTTTCATTTTCCTTTTTTTCCTTTGTTTTTGGGTGGGGGAGGGGTTTGGAATATACATTTGACTAATTTACGTGTTAGGTGGTCCCCATTCAAAGTAGTTGAAATCTAAATGAAAAATTGACCAAATAAACAATAAAAATCATCACTTCATTTCTTGAATGCCTTGCAGCAATATTTTTAAAACCCGGCCCGGCCCAGCGGGTTGACCCGGTGACCCGGTCCCCTAACCGGGCCGATTTTGTAATTGAATCGTTTGAATAAAGAACTCGGAATAAAACTGGTGAACCGGTCAAAAAACCGGTAATCCGTGAAAACCGGACGGGTTTATAAAACCGGCCGGATTTGTTCCTTTAATATAAATATGTCTTTTTTTTACATTTTTGTGTCTTTTTCTTTTTCTTTTCTATTTTTATTTTTCATTTTGTGTCTTTTATAAATATATCTTTTGTCTTTTTTACATTTTTACATTTTTTTTACACTTATGAATATTTGCATTGGTTTGTTAATTGAATACAATTAAGTGATTCAGACTTGATAACTTTATTTGATTTAATATATATTAAACATGTTATTTTTATAACTATTTTAATTTTTTAGTCTATTTATCATCATTAATAATTATTTTTTATTTTTTTATTATATCACCGGTTCGACCAGTGACCCAATGGTTGAACCAGAAATCCATTAACCAGGTTCCTTCTCTAGATTGATGTCTGGGCCGAGTTTTAAAACTATGCCTTGCAATGCGTATCCTATAAGAGACCGAGAATTTTTTTTCTTCAGAAAGTAAAGTAAATGTATTGAACACAAAATGTAAATATACAGCAAGGAATACCCCTTACAAAAGAGAAGATGCAGAACATTCTCATCCATGCTTAAACAAAAGAAACATTACACAACAGGAAGGATTGAACAGGAAGATTTAACAAGAAGTAGAGGCCTTGAGCCAGGACTTCCTACCAAATCCTCCATCCAAACCTTAGACAACATACACAATTACACTAAGCAATAACTGGGGAGACCCATGCCTGTACAAGTTGTTGATTCTCATGAGTTAGCTTAAACTTTTCCGAGAATGGATGACCTATAATCATTTGCAAGATGTTATACACTATAGTTCCATTATCAATGAACTGATTTCTGAAGATACGGTTATTCTATTCCCTCCACAGAAAATAGATTGTAGGTACAAGGCTGAGTTAAGATAGAACAACTTTTAAGGACTTTCCCCTCCAAAGTTGGCTAAGGTGTAGCATCAACTCAGACCAAGGTTTTGGGGAAATCTATTGGTCACACAGCTGCATAATACACCTCCATACTCTGCTTAGAATAAGAACAAGCAAAGAAGATGCGTGTGATTCTTAGAAGCCTCCCTACACAGAATACATTCAGGACTACAGTTGTTTGGAAGAATATGATCCTGAGGCGATTCTCGACAGCAAACTAGAGCAAAAGACTCATCCTAGGAATTCTAAACTTGCACCATACTAGTTAATACCATGGCACAAGAGCAGAATGTACCCTGATGACGTTCCGAGCAGAGCAGGTGGAGAATATACCATTTCCACTTGGCAACAGCTTAATGGAATCCTCCCTTTCAAGATTGGGAGAATAGCTAGGTGTACTGTTGACAATTTAATTGAGTTCCACATTCCTATAGAAAGGCCAAGACTACAAATTACCCATGATAATTCTATTCACCCTAGAGTCGCTACAAGAAATATGGGAAAATCTGACGTTTAACTTAAATGGTACTAAAATTAACATTTATTTTTGCACACCAAAAATTATTAATAAAAATAATAAAAATCTTTTTTTTTTCTCTTAATTTTTGGTGTTTAAATTAAACGTCACAAATTATTAATAAAAATAATAAATTTTTTTTTGCTTAATTTCCTACGTTTAAGCCAAACGCCACAAATTATAAATTAAAAATAATAAATTTTTTTTTTTCCTCCCCCAATATAAACCTAAATTTTTTCCCAATCTCTCGACTTCTCTCTCTCTCCGACGAACTCCTCCTCTGAGTGTTTGAATAGTAAACTTCATTAATTTTTTTCCTTCAGAACTCCATTGATTTTTCCCTGGGGACATCCTTCTCTCTCCTCTCTCTCTCTCTCTCTCTCTCACGTCCAGATCTATGAGATTCACATACTCAAACTCTCTGTCTAAAATTGAATCTCATAAACACTCTCTGTTTAAATTCACTCGAATACTCATTCGACACTACCTCAGACGACAGGCAATTCCGACTACCTCAAGCAGCTCCAAAGTCTTTGGCGATTATCCAACTGAGTATCTTTCAATTTTGTGAATCTGAATTTAAATATGCATGTTTAAGTTACTGGTTTGATTACATATTTTCTACTTTCTCATCTCTCTCCCGGCCTCCCTCAGTTTCCTTCAAGCAGATTTCACTCACCCCTCCCCATCCTCCACCTGTTTGAGAAAATGCCTGAAAGAATTTGGTATTGATTACGGTTGCCATATTTGGCAATACCGACGCCCAGTGTCCTATATCGAAAACCCCTCCTTCATCCCTCTTTTCGGGCGAATACACTGATGTAAGATATTAAATTTGGGTAAATTACACTGATGTATGATATGGAGTACAATTTGATGTGATGATCCCAGATCTGAATTTATTTGGTGCTGTTACAAATATGCCAAGAGTATAATTACCCTTATGATATTCGTGTGCCTTTGTAATTACTTAATTTTTCAGATGGTTACAAGTTCTGCTACATTCAAGAACAGGATACATGGGAGTCAATTAGCAGAGATGCCATTCATTCGGACTCGTCACATGTATAGGCGTCAAGGAATGTGTCGTCGGCTCCTTAATGCAATTGAATCAGTGCGTATTAGAACATTGTAATTTTGATGTATTAGATTCTTTGTCCTGTTTTGTCTTCGTTTCGCTACTTCCTTTTTTTATTACTGCAAACAATATGAGCATAAAGTTAACTTTAAAGCTCAATAGGCACAAGCAACGAATTGAAAAGAAGAGAAGCTTAGGTTTAGTTTTTCTGTTGCAAGTTCAAAAGAATAATAAATTCTGAATAACAGGGAGGCAGTGGTGATATCTGTTAATAATATATCAGAATTCGTATCTATAGATAAGGACGGAAGTTGGGTTTGCACCGGTGGACATAAGCACAAAACAAAGCATCATCCAGATCCTGTAAGTTGTGATTCAATTTTTTGCTTATGTGATTAATTTTTTTACCACAGTTCCAGCGATTTTATTCCATTTTTTGTGCTTTATTTAGATTGCCTGATATTGGGAAATGAAAAGAGTGGTGATTATTACGTTGGTTTTGGGCATAAGAGAATGAAGTCCAAAGAGTTTATTAACAAATGGCCCTATATTAGAATGATGAATAGCTTCAATCTATTCTCAAATAGCTGATGAGTATATGAACTTTTGTTTCCATCCTTTTTTTTTTTCTGTTAGATTTTTTAAAACTAAACTTTTAAAGTTCAATATTGTGGTTGATCTCATATTGATCTAACTACATAAGATATGTCATGAATTTGATTGTATATAATTATTAAAAAATACGGTATAGGATTGCCGAATTTCCAACTCTCATTTTTCCTTGTTTTTTTTTTTTTTTGTGTTCGATTATTTTGGTATCTTGAAACCACATATGTTTGATGTTTCAGATTTGCAAGCATATCATATTGGAATACGTTTATGGATAAGAGTTATACATTTACATAGACTGGACCTGTTGTACGAACAAGGAGTTACGAATTTTATCAAGTTTGCATGTAAAAACAAACCAAATGCATTGGAACCCACGTGCCCATGCAAAAAATGTCGTAATGTTAGATTGGTAAAAATGAAACTTTTGGAAGAACATTTTATTAGGAATTATTAGTAGTTTGGGTACTCTAGATTCAAACATATTGCCTTTTTTTTTTTACCACCATCATATCTTGAAATCAAACAAATTAATCAAGGACAACAGTCCCAGAGCAAGCAACCTAAATAGGATAGCAGCAGTACGCAACGATTGATTACATATACCACCATTTGAGTTTCGAATTGAGTTGCAAAGCTGGTGGGCATGT